GGCGTGGCTGACTCTGAACTTTTATAAAGAATATCTCTTTGGATTTGAGACTTTAGTCTTTGCAACTTTACAGATCTTCTTTATGCACCAAGAGCTTGTAACACTCCAAAGAGAAAGGAACAATTGAAATCGCATCATATGACCCCTTTAAAGCACGTTTATACAAAGTATATAAAGGTCTAATGAAGTTAGAAGAAATTAAGAATTCAAAAAGACTCTTGAAGCTTCTATTGAAAGTTGACTCTGTATTTCTACGTTGTGGTGTCACTGCACAGACTATTTTTCAAACATGCGTTTCAAATGTTAGATGAGAATCTAAGATAACTCCAAGATATTTAAAATCTGATACAATTTGTAATTTTTCACCATTAACTAATATATCTGGTTGGACCTCCTCCACCTTTATAATGTTAAAATGCATATACTTTTCCGAAACATTTAATGTTAAGCAGCACTGAATAAACCAATCTAAAATGTTCGTCATTGCGATAGATAATTGTTGTGCCACCTGTTCTTTTGTTTTATCGTGTACATAAATCACAGTGTCATCAGCGCACATTTGAATATGTGCATCAGGACAAACATCTGGAAAGTAATTCAAGTACAAACGGAAGAGTAGTGGCCCTAGGACTGACCCCTGAGGAACCCCCGCAGAACAATCTCTTACAGAAGATATGTGTGTTTTAATCTGGGCACACTGTTTCCTTGATGTAAGATAAGACTCGATCCATTTGATCGTATCTTCCGAGAAATTAGAGTGTGATAATTTAGATAATAAGATATTATGATTTAGTGTATCGAATGCCGTTTGTAAATCAAGGAACACGGCACCCACAACCAGTTGCTTATTTATTCATTTTATTATTAGTAGTATTTATTTATGTTCAGTATAGTTTAATAAATAAACGTTTGTGTTGTTAAAGAGTGAAAGAACATGCATTTTATCTGTTTTGTATTTTTATTAATTTTCATTTATTTGTTTTCTATGTGAAGAGTTTATTTGCAAAAACGGATAATGCCGTTAAACTTGTTTTTTTTTATGTTATCACGTTTTTTATTGTGTTAGTTAGCTGTATTTTATAATAACCCAACTGCAGTTCGATTGAAAAAAACGTGATTTTTGAGTTATCCGCTTTTGCAAACGAACTCTTCACGTTCTAATACATATATGTTTGTATTTTTAAGAAATACAAAACATGCATTTATTTTTATTTTTTTTTATTGTTGTTCGTTTGTTGATTTATTTTTATTTATTGGTTTATTTTTTTGTATTATTTATTTGTTTCCTTTATATTTTAATACAGAAGTGTTTATATATTTGTAAAGAAAGAAAGAAGATGCATTTATTCATTTTGTATTTATTTATTCTGCATTTTATATATTTATTATGTTACCATGTGTTTTATATATATATATATATATATATAAATAGGTGCAGTCAGTACCGCTCCAGGCCGCTAGTGGCGCGCGGTCGGGACGTCACCGGAAGCGCCACCTTGTATTTTTAAGAAATACAAAACATGCATTTATTTTTATTTTTTTTTATTGTTGTTCGTTTGTTGATTTATTTTTATTTATTGGTTTATTTTTTTGTATTATTTATTTGTTTCCTTTATATTTTAATACAGAAGTGTTTATATATTTGTAAAGAAAGAAAGAAGATGCATTTATTCATTTTGTATTTATTTATTCTGCATTTTATATATTTATTATGTTACCATGTGTTTTATATATATATATATATATATATAAATAGGTGCAGTACCGCTCCAGGCCGCTAGTGGCGCGCGGTCGGGACGTCACCGGAAGCGCCGCCCTGTGTGCGCTGTTCCTGAACAGCAGTGCGAAACTCCTGCACTTCCATCGGTGTTTAATGTTCATTTTCTGTTGTTTTGAGTTTTTAATCGTGACTTATGTCGCGCTGATGTGATATAGATGTGTTTCTGGGCGCGTACGTGTGCGGTTTGGATAATTCGCGGTGTTCTTGCGGCTTTGTGATGATCAGGTGAGACTCTGTTTCGTAAAGCTAGCTAGCTATTTGTTTTGTTTTTGTTCATATTTCGTTCCTTTATGCGTTTGTTGTCTGCAGAGGTGTTTTATAATCGCTGTTTTGAACCATTGGGGAAGGCAGGAGAGGTATATCCCATAACCATCGATCAGAACACTACAGGCTGCTTATTTATTAACACTTTTAATATTTTGTGTGATTCTGAGCATAATTCTCAGTATGTCAGTGTTTATGGATGTGTCAGCGATGTCGCCGTCTTCAGAGACGCGTGAGTGTATTTATTTAAATTAGTAATAATTTAAAATAATAATATTTGATGTATACCATGGTACTATATAAATATATAAAATATTGAAAATATGAAATATTACAGGTGAGTATTACATGCATCTTAATGCTGACCTGTATTCAGACATGTGAAATAATTAATTCAGGGCAGAACAAAATCCACTTTTTATTGTTTATTAACATTTCGCAGATTTCACAAGGGTTATGCAAACTTAACTGCATGCGTATATTTCAAGAAAACCTAAAAATAGTAAGTTGTATTGCAGTCAAGTTATATTATACTAAAATGCAATCGTAAAAGTGATGCTTGAATCATTGAATTCTGTTGATTTGACGTCCTTTTTCTTTAGTACGTTTGAATTCAACTATTAATAACGCTGTAAACACCTGAAATAGTTTATTCAGGGCAGAACGGAATCAACACAAAACTAAATCCAGTTTTATGATTTCACTTTTCATAATTATTATTAATATTTTTCAGATTTTGCCAGGTTTATGTAATCTTATGACTGCAACTCTCTCTCATATATATATATATACATATTGTTTTGGAAGCTGTGATACTTTTTTCAGGATTCTTTGATGAGTAAAATGTTAAAAACAAGAGCGTTTATTTAAAATAGAAATCTTTTCTAACAATATACACTACCGTTCAAAAGTTTGGGGTCGGTACATTTTTATTCTTTCTTTTTTGAAAGAAATTAAAACTTTTATTCAGCGAGGACGTGTTAAATTGTTAAGAAGTGACAGCGAAGATTTACATTGTTAGAAAAGATTTATATTTTGAATAAATGCTGTTCTTTTTAACTTTTTGTTCATCAAAGAATCCTGAAAAAGTATCAGTTTCCAAATAAATATTGTGCAGCGCAACTGTTGATAATTCTGATAATAAATCCGCATATTATTATGATTTCTGAAGATCATGTGACACTTTATACTGGAGTAATGATGATGGAAATTCAGCTTTGCATCACCGAAATAAATTATATTTTAAAGGATATTAAAATAGAAATTATTATTTTATATTGTAATAATATTTTGCAAGATTGCTGTTTTTTTCTGTATTTTTGATCAAATAAATGCAGCCTTGATGAGCAGAAGAAACGTCTTTAAAAGCATTACAGGTCTTGTGTCTATTATTTGTTTCAGTTTGTTATTTGCCCAACAAATGACAATAACATTTTTAGATTTAAACCGTTTTTTGACAGATTCCTAAAATAATTGTGTTTTCTCTTTATTATGACGGGTGGTCTAATAAATGAAGCACTGTATGTTTTCATAGCATGCAGTTGGCACGGTTGTTTGAAGGACATTGGGCAGAATGTGGAATGGTGTGTTTTTTTGACAATAAAAACACAAAAAAAAGGAAATTGGGCGCTTTACCCGATTAATCGAAAAAATAATCGTTAGTTGCAGCCTTACATTTTATACTTGAAGTGTTGTTGACTTGTGTGATAAATTACTTGCATCTCATTTGCAATTTGCTTTGGATAAAATGTAATGTGAGAAAATAATTAATGTTCATGCATCGTTTCTGATGAACCTGGCACTGGATATTACGAATACTTTTTGTTTTATTCGGATAAAATCTTCTTCTAAATGCATAAATGCGAAGGTTGTCTAACGAGCTGATGTTTTGTGTTGTAGATGATGGCGCCCTCTAAGATGAAGCTGCGTGTGAGGAAGAGAGACAGCGCTGGGAAATCTTCTCAGCGTTTATTGGCCAACGCGTCGCCCGATTCCAAATGCCCCATCTGCCTCGACGGCTTCAATAACGTGGCGTCGCTGGACCGTTGCCTGCACCAGTTCTGTTTCCGCTGCATCCACGAGTGGTCCAAGAACAAAGCCGAGTGTCCGCTCTGTAAGCAGCCCTTCCACTCCATAATCCACTCCGTCAAAGGGGAAAACGACTTTAAGGAGTTCGTGCTGCGTCCGCCGGAGAACGGAGTGCCTGCGAATGCCGATCCGCCTGAGCGTGTGGTCCGCCCCCGAGTTCTCCGAAGCCAGGAGAGGCGGAGCCACAGAGCACAAAACCCCGCCCCTTCCTCTTCCCCTCCACAAGAGGATGACGTTATGTTCGATGGCCTGACGGATGCTGCGGCGCTCGCAGAGAACCAAGACGTGCAGCAGATGGTGCTGCGATTAACAGCACGCAGACATGGGCGTGGCGAGGGGCGGAGCTTGCGGCGTTTGCGCGACCAAGATGTTGTGGCGTTCCGACGCGCGCTTTATAGGACCGGCGTGCGAGTGCGCAGCTCGAGGGACGCTGGCAGGCAGAGGGACATTTCTGCCGTGTTCTTGCGACAAAATCCCGGCTGTTTGCGACGACTATTGCCTTGGCTGCAGCGAGAGCTCACGGTGCTGTACGGTTCGCACGGCTCGCTGGTGAACATCGTGCAGAACATCATCATCTCACGCATCATGAACTACAACATGGAGGACTCGGCCATCCGGGACGAGCTCCGCCCCTTCCTGCTGGCGCGCACCGACCACTTCCTGCACGAGCTGGTGAGCTTCGCCCGCTCCACCCTCAACATGGAGGTGTACGACCAGCAGGCCGTGTACGACTGTCCCGCTCCCAGCTACGAGGAGGGCAGCAGCTCAGACCTTTCTGTTATCGCCATCTCCGAGGTGAGACTCACAAACATCAAACATTACGTTTTGTGAATTAGTTTCTGAGTTTACTTTCCTTCCTGTATGACTGTTCTGTTTCTCTGGCTTTTTATTTTAGGGACTATGTATGTTGTCATGAGAAAATCAATGAAAAAAACCCCCAGAGAAAATTACAAATATTTACAGATGACTGAATTATACCAAATATAAAGCTGAAAATAATGCTCTATGGACCATTTGCTAAATATTGTATGAAAATCTACTGAGAGGTTTGGAAAAGTATGGAATTTTGAAATGGAAACTTAATTAATTAATTCATTCATTAAGCAAATTTTAAAAGTAATTTAATAATTACAATTTTTACAATAATGGGGCCCTATGAAATGTTTTGTCTTTTCAAAACTTCTGTGTTGTATGTCGTAGTCAAATGAAGGCATGAAACATTAACAGTTTAAGTAATCCTTTCAAATGTAATCAAATGACAATTTTACCGTTCTTTACAAGTCAAACAAAGTTCTGCAAAACAAAGGTTTGATGTTAGAATTAAAGCATGGAAGAAATGTTTGTATTTTATTTGGTTTGGCCACAGTGGCCATTTTTGTGTCATGGCCCACAATAAATTTTGGGTTGCACAGACATTTACAAACACCTCAAGATGGCCCTAAAGCCCCCGAAACAAAAACTGATAAAAAATATAGCCAAGCAACCTCCTTTGGACCATTTGAGATGGATTGACCCTGAAAGCAGCAACCCAAGGGTGTCAAGCTCCCAAAAAAAAACTATTTCCTGTTCCTTTTTCTCCATTTTTACTCCTCCACGGTGGGAATTAATGCACAAAAGGGTGTCCACCAAATACATAAATCTAAATATTGTTTAGTATGTCTATAAATCTCTTAAAATCTTATTAATTAATGATAACTTTGTGTGAGGAACAGTACATAATTTAAGTTGTTATTCTACCGAAACCGTCCCCTGTGAAGTGTTCTGACACTGTTTCTGTTTATTGTAAGCAGATCATGTCAGAGCACTGCAGGAGGATGTAATCTGTTTCTGGTTCAGTTTATCCAAGTCTTCATTGTTGTCTTTTCTCACAGGATGACGACGATAATGACAGTGAGGACAATGTCACAGAGAATCCCTCTGCTGTCCAGGAATGCCTTGCATCCGTTGCCACAGCAAGTGGAGTGGAAAGTTTGCCAAGTCAGTCAGCGTGGGATGATGAGACGCCTGGTCCCTCCTATTCAACCCTCCTCCCCTCTTCCAGCCAATCACATGGCGAGGGGGCGGAGCCAAGCGCAAGCACAGCCCCTCCCCTCAGCGCCCTGGATATGACTGACCCTGTGGTGAGTGGCAGAGTGTCAGCCGGACCGGGTGAAGATGACGAAGAGGAAGAGTGCCTGATTGTGGGATACGTGAAACCAATGGCCGAACGAACTCCAGAACTTGTTCAGCTCTCTTCAGACTCGTCTGAAGAGGAGCAAGAGCCAGCCACCACTGAGACAATGGCCTCAGTAACGAAATCAGAGGCATCCCAAGTGCAGCTCCCATTACATTCCCACATGAACCCAATTAGCCCTAGTTCCTCCCCAGGCTCTGCTCCCTTGTGCAGTCCACAGCATTTACACTCGGATGGAGTCAGGTCACACAGCAGAGAACAAGAGGTCGACTACTTGTCCTTCCGTGGTCACCAGTCCAAAGATGGTTCACAGTCACATTCACAGCAGAGTCGAGGTGACTCCAGGTGCAGAGGTCACAAGAGGCACAGAAGTCATCGGCGCTCTGGCAGCAAAGAGAAGGATAAGAGTTTAGAACAATCTCGGCACGTCAAGACCCCGGATTGCTCACCAAGCCAAACACAGAGCTGGACACAAAGCCCAGCAGTGTCCGTTTGGAGCGTTAGCCCTGCCTCTAAGTCACACAGTAGCGACTGCTCTCCTTCTCGAAATAAGAGCGGAGAGCATTCGCGCCATGCGAGAGAGAGATTCTCACATTCTCCTGCCAACTCCAGGAGGAGGAGAACCAAGGAAAGGAGGAGTAGGTCACCCGACTTGGACTCGTTCCTTGGTTCCCACCATCCCTGTGAGGCAAAGCGTAGTCGTAAACGGCGCAAGCGGTCGGTCAGCAGCAGCGGCGCTGATTCACACTCCGAAAAATCCTGCCTGGACAAACCCAGTGGTAAACGCAAGTACAAAACCCGGCACTTGGAGCGAGCAGCCCAGCGGCAGCACAAGGAAGGAACCACAAGCAAGGAAAAGCGGCACCGAGAGCGGCGACGAAGCAGGGAACGATCTCCAAGTGTGGAGATAATCTATGAACAAAAGCCGCCTGACCCGTACTGGGTCCAGCGGAGGAAGAGGAAGCACCGGAAGCGAAGGAGGGAACTGCGTTCTCCCACTGTGATCACGATCGATAGCGACAGCGACCGTACCATTGACTGTCTGGACCGCGTCATGGACGTTATAGACCAAACCGCTGCTGATTTCGAGCAGAGGGATGAGACTCCTAAGCAAGAGTCCATCCAGAACTCAAGTTATACCTTGGACTCTTCAAATCCTCTATCCGAGCCTTCGAGTCCCATGGGCAGCAGTGACCCAATTACTGAACGCACACTAAACCTGGACGACTGTGTGGTGGATGTAGTCGACCACAGTAGTTCCGACTGCTCCAGAAATATGGGTGCCAGTAACCACCAAGAGTTTATACCCAACCATTTCCCAGTGGATTCGATAATAATGGCGCCACCTTCGGACGTGAGGCTGCTGGAAACCATACTGCAAGATCTTGTGGATTTCCTACCGGGGGCAGAGCGGGAAATGGGGCGGAGTTCTCCCGGCCAACAGGAACCCGCTTCTAGACAACAAAAAGACCAATCAGAGATTTGAGGAGATGCCGAAAATGTAGAGAATGAGAACACCGTTGGCAACGGACTGCAAGAGTCGATGACCAACACTGCTAGCAGACTTTTTTTACATACACATGCTTGTCTGATGCTTATCTGAATCTCCTCTAGACGTTTTATAAACTCATTTAAAGTTTGAATTCCTGCTGGAAATGGATGCTTAAACGTTTGGAGAACTTTTTTTTTTGCCATTGTCAACGTCATTATGATTGTTCATGTTGTATTTATAGTCATGGTGATCCTCTTCCTTGAATCTGGTGCTGATTCTCTGTGCCACAACCCAACTACGATCATGCCTGGATGGCAACCCTTGTTCCCCTAACCTTAACTCTAGTTGCAACAAATACATAGGGGTTACCGTCTAGGCTAGTGGTTCTCAGCTTGTTTGCTTCAAGACTCTGATTTTGTTTGACAAGACGCAGGGCCTTTGACAAACCGAACAAAAAAATATGGTAAACTTTATTTTGCTATCCTACACTCTTAGAAAAAATGTGCAAAACTTGTACCTCTAAGGCAGGGGTTTTCAACCTGTGGCGTGAGCATCAGTTAATTCAGAGACATTCCCTTGAGAATTTATGAATATGAGTTAACAAATCTTTAGCCATCCACTAGGGGGCAATCTGACTCCCACTGCTAGTCGACAGTTAGAGCAGAGTTGGCTCGAGTATCAGTCACGCTCAGAGTTGCCAAGTCTGCGGTTTTCCAGCGGAATTCGACTACTTTAACACTTGCCGCGTTTTGTAGTTTTGGGCTAGTTTTGAGTAGCAATTAGGCGGGTTTTGTTGTGAAAACCTGGCAACCCTGGTCACGCTTATTGACAGTGTAAGATGATTTACGATTAGCCGTGTCAGAAATCCAACCACGGATTGGCATGTTGTTATCTCAGAAACAGGCTCAGCCATCACATTGAATCAGGTAAACTGGTTATATATTTGTTTCAGTATAATTACGCACGCTGTACCAGGGGCAGCTCTAAACCATTTTTAGGTGGGTTTCAGCCCCCCTATCTGTCACCTTAGCCCCCCCAAAACTATCTTAACGATCAGGCCAGTGCTACTTCCTGGAGAAAGTTTTTCATCCTCACGTGTTTTAAGTCTAGTCAGTTTAAACATTAAAGTAATTTTAAGCCATTTAAGCCCAAGACATCTCAATGCGGTACTCACGCACTGTGATAGAGCATTTCTATGCGCACCGCTCACACACCTGAAGTGCACAAACAGATAGCCTTCTCAGACAGCAGGTGAATACCAATGGCTGTCTTGACAAGTATCCTTGTAAGCACAGTCGGTTGTTTTAAGTGAATGTAAATAGTGAAGAAAATATCAAATGTACATCAGTATAACGGATCCGTGCATTTCTTACGTAAATAATGTTAATCAAAAAGAGCAAAAAAAAAATTGTTCGCTGCTTTAATAGCTTTAATGGATATTTGCTTTTATGTTAATGTTAATAAAGTAATTCGGTGTGACTACAGTAATACGGGGAGGGGGGGGGGGCGCAAGTGGAATTAGACAAACTTGGGGGGGGCGCATGTTCTAAAAGGTTGAAAACCCCTGCTTTAAGGTGCACCGGAGGAACCTTTTCATAGTTCCTAGAACTATTGGTGGAAGTTCCTGCTTTTTGGCGTGTTCGCACTGCAGGAACTAGAAACTTATTTAGTTCTAGGAACTCCATTTGGGGGAACTAATTTAGCTCCTACTTCAGAGTGGGGTCTAAAACAGTTCTATAGGAACTACCAGTGACATAAGTGTACGCTGTTTGGCCAAACGCATACGAAACATTGGCTACCCGGCATTTTTAAAAAGCCATGTATAAATTTTTACTCCACAAACATGGAAAATAGTGATAATGGCATTTACCTGTTGTCTGCACCCTTGTGTTCTTTTCTCAGCCTCGATGATACGTAACCCTGCAAGTTGTCATAGGAGATTTAGTCCGATTTTCATGCTCTTTCAATCGCATAAATTGTGCATTTACATTCCATCTCTGTTATCACGAATCTCACGACACACAACAAAAACGGCTCCGATCACGACGTTCTCCATTCACCGGTTGTTGCCGCGAATTAAGACGTCGCTGTCGGCCGCTTCAGAGTTCCTGCTGGTGGTTCGAATGCAACCAGAAAAATGGCCCGAGGGAGAAATTGATTGTCTAGGAACCAACCTGCTGGCTAGTTCCTAAAACTAAAGCCTGGAATACAGTACACAATTTCTACCCTGATTTTCCACCGCTTTACAGTCTGGAGAAGTTGACGCTAGTTGCTGAAAGTCAGAGCCAGTCTGCAGATTTGAGTTGACCGATTACATAGAAAATCGCGTAGTGTATGATAGTCACAGACTCCGACTTTTTAGGTTCAAACTTTGATTCCATCCAGTCGGAGGAAATCAAACATGTTTGATATTTTCAGCCGATTTTAGAATGCATATTGTCTTCATTTGTCAAGTGTGTCCTAGCAACAAGGCGGACGTTTCTGCAGGAGCTTGTTGTGATGGGAACGACTTTAAAGTCTGGTAGTGTGTGATCCTTAGTCGTGTAGTGTATGATGGCCAGTTTTCCTTTGTCACTATTTACAAAGTCGGTAAGTGTATGATGCCTAGTGTTTTAAAAATCTGTTCAGATTTGAAAAGTCGTGTAGTGTATTCCAGGCTTAAGTTCCTAGAACTACGCAGTGCGAACGCGCCTTTAGATATACAACAGATTGTCACTGGGACAGCGCGTTGGAAAGGAGAAAACGGCACGGCTAGCGTTTTCCATCCATTTTTAGGTGCAACATGTGAACGGCCCCTAAGGGTACATATTGCTACTTAAGGCACAAATATGCACCTTTAGGGTTGGACAAGATACAATGTTGTACCCTAATGGCACATATTACCGTACTACTTAATGTACTAATATGCACGAGTTAGGGTTGGATAAGGTACAGCGTTGTGCCTTGAGGACTTATTTTGCTACTTAAGGTACCTTATGCACCTTTTAAGGTTGGATAAGGTACAACGTTGTACCTTAAGGTACATATTAGTAATTAAGGTGCTAATATGCATCTTTTAGGGTTAAATAAAGTACAGAGTTGTCCTTTTAAGGTTATTGCCCCGGTGACATGTTGTTTTACCTTTTAAAGGTACATTTTTCACATTTTCTGACAGTGTACATGATTATATGGTTAGTTGCATTTTGTTATTTGCGTTTAGCGTTGTTTTTTCTGCTTCTGTCCACAATCTTGTCAAAGCATCCCTGTGATCCTGAGTCACGACCCACTGGCTGAGAACCACTGATCATTCATTATTCAGTCCCGCTGAACCTGGAGAATTGTGTCTTTGTTAAACTCAGGGAACAGGTGACGTGCACCTCCATGCCTCTGTTACGCAGTATGTGTGTATGTGCTGGTGTATGCGGGACTATGGTGACACCCTGGAGATATAGTTCACTGATCATGTCTACTAAACACACATCAAGCCTTCTTTACAACAGCTGTCTGTCATGTCAGCCAACAATCAATAAATGCATTTAATAGATGTACAATCTTGTGTCTAAAAGTGTTTTTCTTTATGAACCGCAGCATTAGTTCGTCACCTTTGTGAGCTGAGACCCTTCTAACCAGTTGAGGTTTGATAAAACAGTGTGATAAATCCTGAGTCTTCCAGGTAACGGTATAGTCCCCTACATTAGTAGACTTTGCAGCCGGTTTGTATTAAGTTGCTGTCGCTCCCGTTGTGTAAAGTCGCCAACTTTCATTAGGTTCTCGGGGAACACAAAAGCATTGAATTCTAGTTTTTAATTAAATATGTTACACAACTCTTCCACAAAATTTGCATTCGTTCTCAAAATGTTTCCACATTTCTGTCGATTTGTGCTACCCTGTCAGATTTTGCCATTCTCCCATTAAAACAATAGATGGTACAATTCGACAACCTGTCAAATACCCTAATGGTTTATTAACGTCTACACCAACACCAACCCTAAACCTACCCCTTACAGTAATGCAAATACAGTAATTATGTGTTATTCAGGGTTGTGGCTAGAAGGCATACAGCTATGGCCGGAAACCAACAATAAATATATTTTTCTACCTATTTGTGTTTTATTAACCTCTACACCTTTTTTTTTGTGCCAAACCGAATATTCAAATCCCCGTGTACCATTAAAAGGGGCCTTTTCGGTGTTTTAGCAGAATAAAAAAGGTTTTTGCAGAGCAATGGTGCAGCAGTAATCACGATGGCTCTGGGAGTGTTGGCCGTTTCTCAAAACCTCCTGTGCTCACTAACAAGGCGGCATGTTTGGGCACCACAGCGAGCGCTTGGAAGGCGCCTGTGTAGGCAGCTCGCTATAGGTTTTGAGCCACTTTTAGTTTAGTAATATGTGTTTTGTTTCCTCGTGTGTACTTTGGCTTTTGTTTCTGGATCAGCTGTAGTGAAGCTCGGGATTAGTCAGGACCATTGTTCCAATTGTGTCAAAGCTCTTGGGGTGTCCCCCCCAACCATATAAAATAAAACTATTTATTCATATGATGCATATTTTTTGTCTTGTCCTCGTTATCATTGAGAACCTAATTCTAAAATAAAAGATTACTTTACGATGATCAGTGAACAATCACTAAGCCAAGAAGAATTAAATATCTAGCCTAGGGGTGTGCGATGTTAACAAAAAATGATATCTCTATATTTTCTGGGATTTTATTGATAACGATCGATAATCAGACGATATTTTGCTGAGTGTGTTGCGCTGCAGGACTGCGTGGACAGCTGACTCTGTGGTGGTCAGTTCACAGCAGTGACAGAAATGAATCATTTCCAGCAAGTTTAAAATGATTTTTACCCTTTATGGGCATTTTTACCTTTGTAAAGCCATTTTTTTCTCAATAAAGTCATCAATATAGTCAATTACAATAATAAGTCATTTGGGGCTGTTACCAATGAATAAAATCATTATCAACAAAACTCATGCAGCGCAGAGGAAACACAGAAGCTGCGTCTGAAGTGGCATTTAGATGCATTTACACACTGTTTAATGCAAGGCATGGATGCTTTAACCTGCAGTTACACATGCATAAATAATGTTTTGATATTTTAATCTTAAAACGTTGAATATTGATATTTGAAATTATTTCACATGTGGTACTTTAAAATGTGAAATTAAAACCGCCAGTAGGTGGCAGCAAGTCACTGTTAATAAGTGAGTCATTGCGATTGAACGGGATCATTTAAACTTTGGTTGATTCATTCAGGAACAAAACACTACCGTCATGTTGCTCAGAGACGCAAAACAGCGCTGTGGTTTTGTTTGGAACCATTTTTGTTGGCAAAATAGGCAATATGGTGTCTAAAACGTAAGTCTCTTAATATGAACTTGTTAATTGAACTGTTGCATAAAATCAATATCACATTTGTGATTTTTGCGAAAGAAAAATGGCACTTCGTGTGATATTGATCAGCTAAATGAAATGATATAAATATATAAATTTTCTGCCCCCATGTCTTGAATTTTGGGAGCATTCTAAATGCATT